GAACACTTTTTCTAGTTCTGGGGAGAAAAACAGGAGTCCTAGGGCTGAGGGAGTGGCACGCTCAGATTGGAGAGCAAGTGTCTGGAGGCAGCCCGGAGCTCCTGAATGACAAATTAGCCGGACAGAACAGCGGCTGTAGGACTGCCTCCTGGGTTTTTGTCAAGCTCAGGGAAGAGGCTGGGGGAAGGAGACCCAGGCAGGGATTGCTCGGGTGCTGAGCTGCAGGAAGGCCCCAAGTGACTGGAGGAAATCAAGATACATCAGAGAAATCAAGACGCCGTCTCCATTGAGGCAGCTCCAGTTTGCACAATATCGTTATTGTCACCTTCCTTTCGCTAGTTAGCACCTGTTCAAGCCGGCAGAAGACAGGGGCCAAGGGAACTGATAAAAGGAAGCTATGGTTTGTCTGGTGGGGCATGAGGTGCAGAGGGGCTCAGAACAGGAGACACTGCTGCTCCCAGCCATTCCTCAGCTGTCCCCAGAACCCTCCCGAAAGCAATCCGAACTGTGGGGAGGCATCTCTATGAAAGGGAGGAGTTGCTATGCCCTCTATGTGGCCTTTCATTTCCTTGAAATAAATAGCACTACCTCAAATCGGGGAAGCCTGAGTTCATTTACCCTGTATTATCTGACGCCCCAGCCTCACCCCCTCTAAACCTGGCAGCCGCTTCAGCACACAGGACACGTGTTCCTTTTCCACTCCCGGATCCTTGGCATCAGAACCCTGCCTGGCACCTCGATGGCACTCTGGGGAAGAACATGACACGAACGCATCCAGTGCTTATAGGACCCAAGCTGAACATTTTCCAGGCCTCACAAGGACTGCCTCGGCACACAGGCTTGTTCTGTCCATGGGGATGCAGACAGGTACCCAGAGATGCCTGCTTCGTGAATGGTTCTTCTGGAGAAAGAAAGCTCTTTAAAAATGCCCAAAGCCTAGGGGCACCTGGGGGGCTCAGTGGGTTAAGGCCTCTGCCTTCAGCTCAGGTCATGACCTCAGGGTCCTGGGATCGAGCCCCACACTGGGCTCTCTGCTCAGCAGGGAGCCTGCTTCCCCCCTCTCTCTCTCTGCCTGCCTCTCTGCCTACTTGTGATCTCTCTCTCTTTGCGTCAAATAAATAAATAAAATTTTTAAAAAATAAAATGCCCAAAGCCCGTCAGCCCGGGGCTGGATGCGGCACAGGAGAGCGCTGTGGAACGGCAGAATCTTGTCTTGGGGGAGCAGAGGAGGAGGGAAGGGGAGAGTGGCTACTGCCCGAGCTGGTCACTGGTCACCGAAAATGCAGGAAGCTGTAGCCCAGGGTGCAGGCAGGCAGCGCGGAAGAGGTGGTCCGTCGAAGGCGCTGGAGCGTTTAGGAAGCAAACGATTTTCCCTGAGCAGATTCACTGCTGAGAGCTGTGTGGGGACGAGATAGCTCTGCTGACAGGAGTTTCAGGGAGAGGTAAGCTTGGCTCATAAAGCCCACTGTGGATAGGAAACCTGTGCCATGGCTTCTGGGGACACAAGACGCCTGGTGGCTGGTGAGACCCCAGGACGCAAAGATCACTGAGGCACCTGTCCGAACACTTGGGACCGAAGCACCTGCTCCCTGATCTTGTTTGGGAAGTGGCTGCGAGGCAGCCATCGCTCACTGGACTGCGAAAACCACCTGTGTGGATGGCTGATCAACGGGGCCACCGCTCCTGGGGCTGTACTGGTGGGATAGCTCCTCATGTCCCCTGCCGCTGGGCTGGGGAGGGTGGGAGTCAGTGTCCTCCGTGTGTGTGTGTTGGGGTGTGGGGGGGACTGCTTCCCGGCTATCTCCAAGTCTCCGTCCTCATCTGTCAGCTGGGGACAGTATCAGTGTTTTACAGCTGTCGTGAGGATTCGGTGAGACACTAACAAAGTGCTTAGCATCCTCAGCCTGCCTGCAAGGCTGCTGTCACAGGCCTAAGAAAGACTAAGCACAACTCATTGGTTTTCTTTATCTTTTTTTAAAAGATTTTATGTATTTATTTGAGAGACAGAGAGAGAGAGTGCATGTGCAAGGGAGGACAGGAGTGGGACAAAGCAGTCTCCCCACTGAGCTCGGACATGGGGCTCGATCCTAAGACTCTGAGATCATTACCTGAGCCAAAATCAAGAGTTGGTTGCTTAACCGACTGAGCCACCCAGGGGCCCCAACTTCCTGGCTTTAAATTCTTACATCCTACAACTGGAATCCATCCGCAGCAGGTTAGTGTGTAAAGCTGGTTAGCGCGGAAAACGATTTGTCAGTATCTCTAAAAGTCGCATATATCCCCATCTCATGAGCCAGGAATTCTACTCCTAGGAATATACTGAAAAGAAATGAACGTCCACCAGCAGGCATGCCCACGGACGTCAGCAGCTGTATTGTTCACCATGGCCCAGCCAGAAACGACCCAAATGTCCTTCAGGGGGAATAAGGTTACATTCACATAATGGAACAGACGTAACAATGAAAATGAGCAAATCTATGCAACTCACAACCACACAGATGAGTCTCACTGGTCTGACGTTGGACACAAGCAGCCAAGAACAAAAGAGCACACACCACGTGACACCATCTATAAACGTCTATAAAACAAACCACACTGGCCTAGAATGCTAGATGTCAGAAGAGTGGTTAGTCTGCAGAGGTGGACAGTGACTGGCATGTCCCAGTCACCACGGTGAGAGGCACAAGGGACATTTCTGGGGTACGGAAAGTGTTCTGGGCTTCATGTGGCTAATGATTATGTGGGTGTGCCGCCTTGTAAAGATTTCATTGTGTTGCCTCGTAAAGATTCATTGAGCTTAGGACTGACTTGGGCGTTTTTCTGAATGTACGTTCCATGTGGAAGACAGCGCGACTGTCCTTAATCAATCCTTTGCTGTCTCTCCAGTCAGGACTTCCTTGCCCTCCTGATGGGGGGCTTGTCCATGTGACCTGCTTGGGCCAAGAGGAGGTTAGCTGGCAGGATATGAGCAGAGACATGAAATGTGTTCCTGTAGTTTGGTTTTGCCCTCTTGGGTTTCTACTACAGTCATGAGAAGATATGCCCCAGAGATGCTGCTTTCCTGGACTGATTCCCAAAATAATATACATGCAACAGCCCGAACTACATGCGGAGCCTGGTGCCGAAGTCAGGCCTAGCCACTCAACTCACAGCTGATTGTGGCAGGAAAAATAAGATTGTTTGAAGCCACTGAACGCTGGTGTGCTTTGGTGTGCAGCATTACTGTGGCCATAAAGGACTAATACCTTATTCTTCAGTCAAAACTGTCCACATCTCTATGCTCCATCTTTATAAGAGTTACCTGTTTCAAGTTCCAGTCCCTGGCACCCACCTCCAGCACTTACATGAATGACTCATGACAACTCATGTCAAGTCAAATGAATCAGTTTCCTTTTCTATAAATTGGGGACGATGCTTACTTTACAGTGCTCCTGGGAGGATTTAATGCCCCAGCAGACCTAAAAGCACTTTGCAAATTGCAGAGCACAATTTTCAAGGGACGAATGATGGGGGGGCAGGACGCCAGTGTGTGTGGATCACGCCACACACCAGGCAGGGCTGCTTTCTGTCCCCCACGACCCAGCCTGACTTGAAGGGGGGGGGCACACGCGTGGGGAGGAGGCTCGGGTGGAGATGTCAAGCCCTACACTAAAGCAGTCTCCCAGGTTTTGAGCCTAGCTCTGTGGGGCCTACCCTTGGGGGAGGCAATGATGCTTAGGTCTCTAGAAGGCCAGCTCATGCACAGGCCAAGTAGGCAGTCCAGGACCCTAGGAGGGCCACCCTCAAGTTCAAGTCAATCCCCTCCCTCTCCATGTCTTTCTTCCGAGTCTGAAGAGCCACATCAGTGCTTGATTCCATCCTGTTGGGTGCTGTGGGCCTAACCACCCCCTGCTAATCCCCACTGCCTGATTTACAACACTTCTCCGTTTACACAGAACAGGCCCATCTGTTCTCTCACTGGGCTATTATTTCCATTGTGTGCATAAGGAGCCCGAGACTCTGAGAGATTAAGTGGTCCCGGCCAGGCCACTTAGTTAACAAGCGTTAGAGCTGAATTTGCAACAGGTTTTCTAACCAGGGTTAGGGTGGTAACTCACTCAAGTGAGCAAGAATTCCATCATTAAAGAACCAGCCGGAGCGTCAGGAAACAGGTGGCAGTGGCCTGAGGGGACAAGACCAGTAAATTTTGACAGGGGAGAGTGGGGGACATGTGTTTGGAAAATCAGCATCAGAGAAGCAGTAGACCTTGGTGGTGGGTGGGGGGGTTGGTGCAGATGAGGAAGTGGGGGAGGGAGTGGAAGGAGGAGGCGGACCCCTGGTCGGCCAACCAGGGGCAGTCTTTCCCGAGGGAGGAGCTAGGGCCAGCAGGGGGAACGCTTCCCCACAACAGCTCTGGGAGAAAGGAAAGACTGCAAAGGAGGCCTGCCGGCCTCTGGTGCCGCAGCCTTACCTCTTCTTCAACCCTAACAGTCTGAGGGTGATGATACCACCACATCTGGCAATGACAGCCCCCCTTGGAGACGCTCCCACTGACCACCTGGGCGGAGGGTGTGAGGTAAAAACGCCTGGCCTGACTCCTACCACACTGGTCTTCTCTCTCCTTCCCTGCCAACCCTGAGCCCTGCCCACTGCCTGGCCCCACACTGGTTCCTGTGACCAGTACAGTCCTCAATGTCAAGATGGTGAGAGCTGTGCTGAAGGGAGCCTGGAACAAAGCTGTATTTAAGCAAACACACACTTCCTTTAGAGTGCAGACAGCAAGGGCCCATTTCCGCGGACTCAACAAAACACAGCGACCCCTTGAGGCAGGGATGGGGTGGGAGTGGAGTCCTGCCATTTTCTTGGCAACAGTTTTCCCATGGGTTGAAAAGGAAAATCTCCCTTTGGTAAGGTGAGGCGTCACTGCTCCTTCCTCGGGTCCCAGCTCAGCTTGGCCCTGTCCCGAAGCAAGCTTCTCCCCTCTTCTCCAGAACCAAGTGGGTTCTGTGGCTGTGACCTACCTCTGTGCTCCGGAGGCCATTCTGTTTCTGGGTCAGGGGGCCTGAGTTGAGGCTCTGGGGATTCGGGCACTGGGTCCCACTGCTCATCTTCTTGTCTGGGTTGGAGAGTCCACCTGGGGCTGTAGATCGGGGCACACCATTGGAGGACGGTCCATCTTCCAGCGCACCTTGGGGAAGGAAGCAGAGGATGGCACTGGAGTCTTACACATGACAGATGCTGCAAACAATTCCCCAGAGTGTGGGGGGAAAGCCACAAAGAAGAAATACATCACCACAATCTCACCATGTGGAATTACCCTTTCCAAAACAACATGTGTGGGGGGGGGGTTTAAATATATATATATATATATAGGCTCCATGCCCAGTGTGGAGCCTGATGTGGGGCTTGAACTCATGACCCTGAGACCAAGACTCAGACACTTGACTGAGCCACCCAGGTGTCCCTTGTTGTGTGTATTTTTTTCTTTTAACAAAACCAAGATTTTAAAATAATTTTGTAACCTGAAACTTTTACTTAACAATACATCAATGACATTTTTCCATGCAATTCAATATTCTGCCATATTAGTTTTCACCCACTTAGTCTGCCATCATATGGATGCGTCACCATTTATTTTTAATTTTTTTTAAGTGGGGCTTGAACTCATGACCCCAAGATCAAGGGCTGGATGCTGTAACGACTGAGCCAGCTAGGCGCCCCCTGTCATTATTTATTTAATCCCCTCTAGCTGGTTATTTGTTTTCACAATAAATGTCACTGTGGTTGAAAAGCCTTACATTTAAAGCTTTATTATTATTTTTTTTAGATTTATTTATTTATTTGAGAGGGAGAGAGAGAGAGCAGGGGAGGGGCAGAGGGAGAGGGAGAGCATCTCAAGCAGACTTCCCGAGAAGTATGGAGCCTGATGCGGGGCTCGATCTCACGACCCACGAGATCACAACCTGGAGCTGAAATTGAGAGTTCGACGCTCAACTGACTGAGCCATTCAGGTGCCCCTTAAAGCTTTATTCTTAATTACCTCATTAGGATAAATTCCTACAAGCGGAATTACTGGTTTGAAGTTTGAAGGTTATACAGTTTTTTACAGCATTCCATCTCAAAGTGTTGGACTGAGCATGTGTTCTTCCCATAACAAATGCCAAGAAGTGATAGAATGAGGTTTAAATAAATGGTGCCCCTGAAAAGCAGGAGGCTACACTGAGGACTAACTACATGGTGGGAGAGCGCCTGACTGAACAGAGAAAAGGTGGTCCAGGAAGCACGAGGGGGAATAGCAGGTGGGAGCCAGGAAGTGCACCCAAGTTCTGCAGTAGCCATAGGGAGGCTGGGGCAGCCGTTCTACTGCTCCAGCCGCCAAGGCCGGTCAGCAGTCATGGAGCCCTCTGTGAGGTGGGATATTATGATAGAACAAGAAATACATACTTGGTCTTTTCCTCCAGTTCCTGGCAAAGATCTCCAAAAACCCTGGTCATTTTCTGAGTGACAGGGTAATAGGAGCATCTTTTTGTTATAACATTTGGTCTTTGCTCCAGTTCATGTCACAGAGACTCCTAAGTCCCTTGGAATTTTGTGGGTGATAGGAGAGACAGGACCGCCATTTATTCTAATGAAGCAACTCTCGTAGGTCTCCCTGATAGCTTCAGGATGGGGACTGGTTGCCAGAAAGACCTAATCTTGACTAAGAGCTTGGAACTTTCAGCCCCACCTCCCAAACTCTGGGGAGGAGCTAGAAATTGAGTCATTTGATCATGCCTACATGATGAAACCTCCCATTAAAAAAGCCCTTAAATAACAATGTTACGGGAGCATCCAGGTTGGTGAAAGCATCCATGTGCCAAGAGGGTGACAAGCCCTAATTCCACAGGAACAGAATGCACTTATGAATCTTCCAGACCTCGCTCTATGTACCTCTTCATCTGGCTGTTCCTTTGTATCCTTTATAGTATCATTTATGATAAACTGGCAAACATTAGTAGGGTGTTCCTGAGTTCCGTGAGCCATGCCAGCAAATTATTGAACCCGAGGAGGGGATACAAGAACTCTAATTTACAGCTGGCTGGTCAGACATACAGGGGGCAACCTGGGATCTGGGATTGGCCTCTGAAGTGGGGGGGCAGTCTTGTGGGACTGAGCCCTTCACCTTTGGGGGATGTGCTGACTCTACAGTCAGATTTGAACTGAATTGGAGGACACGCAGTTGGTGTCCAGAGAGTTGGAGAATTGGTTGATGTGGTAGGAAAAAAAATCCCACACATTTGGTGTCAGAAGTGTTGTAAGTAGAAACAGCACTGAGAGGGGCCTGGCTCAGAGAGGAGGGAGGTACTCTCAAGGGCCTTGACACCTGAGAGGAAGAGGAAGAGAAAATCCACACCATGAAGGCTGGCTCTAGGGAAACAGTGCCAAGAGTTAGGCCAATAATTTCCATCCTTGCCTTCCAAGTGCTTCTTAAAAGAAGTAGGTGCAGCTGATGTTCTACAAGGAATTTCAGCTACACAAATTAGCACAGAACAGGATTAAACAAACATCTGGAGAAGGCCAACACCATAAAAGAGAGACAGCAAACTTTAGAGTAGAGAGCTCAGAAAATGTAGCTAACAAGGTATGCAGCAGAAAATTTTAAATAAATGCCCAGAAAAATGAGGGAAGATAAGGTAAGCACAAAACGAGGACAAGAGTGGCTAAAGATACTTGAAATAATAATTTTAACTGTTGAAATGAATTTATAACAACTCAGTAGAGAAGTTGAATACCAGGACAAACATAAAGAGCAAGTTAATCAACTGCTCCAGGGATTCTCCTGAAGGAGTGAGTGAAGGGATGAAAAACACGTTGGGAACAAAGGATCAAAATCCAGACATTACAACCTCAGTCGAATAGCAGTTCCAGAAGGAGAGAGTAGAGAAAAATGAAGGGAAGCAATATCCACAGAAATAATAGTATTTCTCAGAACTGAATGAAGAAAGATGTGAAACCCCAAACTGAAATAGCCTACAAAGATTTGACAAGACAGATGAAAAGAAAATCCAACCTAGATACAGATCTTAGTGAAAATTCCAAAAACTGTCAATAACAAGAAAAGCTTTAGAAGAGGCAAACAAATAAAAACAAGAAAGCAGAATGAGATGGACGTTAGACTTTTTATCAACAACCAATGGATGTAAGAAAATGTGGAACAGTGACTTCAAGATTTCAAAGGATACGCACTTGGCAAAGTCTTCCGCATTGCCAAATTTACCTCTAGAAATCTCCAATTACCCTACTGCCTTCTCCCAATAGTAAATGAAATGGCAATATTCCCTAAACCCACACAAACCCTGAATATTTTCTTTTTTGTTCCTCATCTTTGCCAATTTAAGAGGCAAAACAAAGTATCTCACTGCTTGGATTTACACCGCTTGATTTATTAGAGATAACGTATTATTTATGTGCCTTATTGGTTAATTATGTGGGGCTTTTTTAAAATTGTCAAGTCATGTGCCTTTCTTTTGGGGTGTTAGCCTGGGTTTGCTTTTATTCAAACTTAAGGAAAACAAACAAAATCCTTTCGCAGAGTGTTGAGAACTTACTTGCCGTGAGGCACGCATCAGAGTGCAGCAGGTCTGATGGACAAAGAGAGGGAAGGCTGGTTGACTAGGTAGAGCTGGTGAGGCCACAGTCCCAACACGGCTGAGGAAGCAGTGATCCAAAGAACACACACATCCACAGGGCACCCACCTGTTCTGCAAAATGCTAAGAGGCTCTCAACTGTGGCAATGGGACAGAGATCAGAAGTCAAAATATCGGAAATAGAAAATGGCGGGCCTGGAGTTTCCTGACTGGCAGGCTGTAGACGTCGGGGCACTGTGGACGTGTTCCAGATGTGCAGAGACATGCATTCTTTCAGCTCGGCTTGCCCCACATCTTTGGGGCGCCCTTCCCCCATCAGCTGGCAGCCTACCCCCTGTCTTTTCCCATCTTCCCTCCATCCTATACCTAAAGGGCCTCGAATATATGTATATGAACCCTCCCCTACCCCCCGCAGCACACATTTTCAGTCTCCATCTCTAGTTGCCCCGTGGCCCATGGGAGGCTAACCTGGAGAATGAATCAGGAGAAGAGGCCCATGAAAAACCTGGAAGCAGGCTTGGCATGATTTGAGCTGGTAATTCCAGGGTCCCAGCACCCACAGAAGAATCTAGAACAGAGCTTCTCAGTGTGACCCAGGGACCAAACTGTTGTTACTGGTCTGCTGTGGCTTAAGAATAAAAACTGAATGCAAGCATTTAGAAATGTCTATGGCACTTGACATGACTGGAACATCAGAGGGTGAACTTGTGTGACTGAGCTTCTCTGATTCAACAGGAGATAGACCAGTTCCAGCGCTGTCAGACTCACAGAGTGAGTCCCAAGGGGGTGTGAGCTGGGTATTAGCCATGGCAGTAAGACCACACATTTGTCTGTGATGGACTTGGGAAAAAAAGCAACTGATCTTGAAGGAGGGCTGGGGACTTTGTCAGGTATGTCCCCTTGCCCTGTAGGGAAGAGTGGGACCAAGTGGCATGGGGCAGAAAAGGGAACATAGGACCAAGAGAGAAGCTCTACCTACTTTAGTCCAGGGTTGAACTGCCTTCAGCTCTTGGGGCTACTGAGTGGGATTCAAGGCTAGCCAGTACCACCTTCACTGTTTACCACAGTGGGCCATAAGAATGTTGCCATTTTCTATGCTGTTCATGACTTGGTATCTGGGTTAAAGGTAGGTAAGAGGCCCTATTGAGCCATCCACTGAATGCACCATGCGCTTCCAGCGTGGTAGGGATGTCCACCCCCATGTCTTACTCTGAGACATTCAAGACATGTATCTGACCCCAATCCTCCCCGTGCCCATGGCTGGCTCCCCTCCCCACCAGTGCAACCCAGCTGCTAACCCAGGAGGAGGAAGGCAAGGCAGAAAAAGGAGGCTGGGGGCACAGGTACCAAGAGCAGGCAGTGGAGAACACATCCCAGGGAGGTAGATAGGCAACAGGAAGTGGAACCAAGAATGAATCAACGCTCCAAGCCTCTGACAAATGCCCCATTGTTCCACAGGATTTCACTTACAAACCACAAAATAAAAGATAAAATTACTAAGAATTTCAAGAATGCCGCAGAACATTAAATCCTAAGTACAGAGCCCCTTCCAAGCTCAGT